CAAAGACTCGCTGTGCAGAGAGGGGAGACCCCAGAAGAGCTGGCTTTTTCTCTGTTGCAGGTGGCTTCCTGGTGCTGTGTTGTGCCTCACGGGTAGGTTGGTCAGGATCTGGAAGGTGGGGAAGGATCCAGAAGGGCTTGGAGGCTGTGAGAGTATTTTCTCTAATGTCCCCGTGACCTTGGGAAGGCGCTCAGAACCACGAGATGGCTGAGGCAGGGCTGTGGTGCCTTGCTCTTGTGTGGGAGCTCTTTGGGGAGAACATGGCTCCATCGGATACAGAGATGCTTCCTCTTCCTCCTCCTCATCCTCTTCCTCCTCCTCCTCCTCCTCCTCTTCTTCCTCCCCCTCCTCCACTTCTTCCTCCCCCTCCTCCTCTTCTTCCTCCTCCTCCTCTTCTTCCTCCACCTCCTTCTCTGATTTCTTCTTCCACAGGCAGCCAAGGAAGGACACATAGTATAGAAGTGATAGGCCCTAGGAAATAGAGAAAGCTACAGTCAGGCATGAAGCCTCTTCAAAGACACAATATGTGTCTTGAAGCCCTCAGTCTCCATTTCACTTCCCAAATGGAAAATGATGGAGAGCATGATTTTCTCACATAACCTTATATCTTAGGCTCCGTGATCATTCGCTTGACCTCAAAACTCAGGTCCGTGGTCAATCAATCAGCCTCACCTCTAGGGCTTAGTCACTCACCTGGGTCCACATCCATTCCAGCGACGCTTCATCTGACCTGCTATGTTATCAACAGCTATGTTACCTGACTGCACATCCAGGATCAGAGGCCACCCACCTTGTCTTGCATCTTGTCCCCAGACCACGTGGGCTGAAGCTGTTGCCACATCCCAAGATGTCGCCACCTCCGGATCTGCCAAACCATGAACAAGAATAGTGTCACCAGGTTTCCTGGACTCTGGAGGCAGCTGCTGCCACAGTGTCTGCAGGCCAGGGCATGAGTCAGCTGGCCCCAGAGAATCTCCATATCTCCCTCAGCCCCAAACAGGTCCTCCAGCAGCCAAGCGGCAGTTTACCCTGAGGTCATCATTACATCACAGAACAAAGAACTCCCATCCCCCACATGGGCCAGGCCCAACAGCCTTCTCCCTGAATTTAGGGCCACAAAATTGCCTCCCTTAGACAGTTCTTACCTCATGCAGTGGAGTCTGAGTGATCCCTTTTTGTGTTGATTGCCAAGGTCATGCTTATGCTTTAGACATTGCAGTCAAGGACATGGATTGTAGCATTGAAATGCCTCGTTCAAATCCCAGCTCTGCCTCTCCCTACCTGTGAAACCTCTGTCATACTACCTAACACTTCCGGGCCTCAGTTTTCTCACCTATGTAGTGAGGATTGTGTAGAGGGTTAAGTGACGAAATGTGGGTGCTTCAAATTAATACTTAGTACATACTGAATGCTGTATTAAAATTTACTTCTTTTAAGGTTCCTGATTATAAGCCTCATTCCCTCCTTAAAAGAGTCTGTCCTTTTCTTGTTTATGCTCATGTCGGGCATGAGCTGTCTTATTTGACTTCAGATTGACTGAGATCTTTTAGAGAAGCACTTTATGTTAAAGATGACAAGTCAAATGTAAGCATTTCTCATTTTCTCCTCTTTCCTCTAAAGTCACCACTCTGTTTTTTGTCATACTTCCTTTCAGGACCAGACTTTAATCCTTGCCTTCCCTGTACAATGTAATGCTCTCCCTCTTCCCCATCAAAGACTGGTTTAGGCTGGTAGGAAGAGTGCTGAACCAAAAATGAGGAGACTTGGGTTCTCTAGTTCTGTCACTGATTAGTTATGTGATCTTGAGAAACCATGAGTTGGTTCCATGAGTTGAACATTGCTTCTTCGACATACATCTATTGAGTGCCTATTAGAGATCAGATTTCTGCTCCATCTCAAGGTGATAGAATAGAAATAAAATAGGACCGGCACCACAGCTCACTAGGCTAATCCTCCGCCTTGCAGCGCTGGCACACCGGGTTCTAGTCCCGTTTGGGGCGCCGGATTCTGTCCTGGTTGCCCCTCTTCCAGTCCAGCTCTCTGCTATGGCCAGGGAGTGCAGTGGAGGATGGCCCAAGTGCTTGGCCCTGCACCCCATGGGAGACCAGGAGAAGTACCTGGCTCCTGCCATCCGATCAGCGCGGTGCGCCGGCCACGGCGCGCTGGGCACGGCGGCCATTGGACGGTGAACCAATGGCAAAGGAAGACCTTTCTCTCCGTCTTTCTCTCTCACTGTCCACTCTGCCTGTCCAAAAAAAAAAAAAAAGATCAGTTAGGGACTCTCGCTTGCTTCAGTTAAATCAAAAGATGAGGATTGTCAGTACAGGCACTGATGGTGAGAATGGTAAACACTGGATTCACCTTGAATTCCAGAGATAAAACTGATTATATTGGGCCGGCGCCGCGGCTCAATAGGCTAATCCTCCGCCTAGCGGCGCCGGCACACTGGGTTCTAGTCCCGGTCAGGGCGCTGGATTCTGTCCTGGTTGCCCTTCTTCCAGGCCAGCTCTCTGCTGTGGCCAGGGAGTGCAGTGGAGGATGGCCCAAGTGCTTGGCCCTGCACCCCATGGGAGACCAGGAGAAGCACCTGGCTCCTGCCATCGGATCAGCACAGTGCGCCGGTTGCAGCGCGGCGGCCATTGGAGGGTGAACCAACGGCAAAGGAAGACCTTTCTCTCTGTCTCTCTCTCACTGTCCACTCTGCCTGTCCGAAAAAAAAAAAAAAAAAAAAACTGATTATACTTGGTTACCAATGGATTGCAGTGGCAGAGAGAATAAATTGAAGATGTCTCTAGGGGTTTTATTTCCTTAAGATTTATTTATTTATTTGAAAGAGTTACAGAGAGAGAGAAAGGGAGAGAGAGATCTTCCATCTGCTGGTTCACTCCCCAGATAGCTGCAGTGGCAGTATAGGGAGCCAGGCTAGGAGCCAGGAGCTTCTTCCAGGTCCCCCACGTGGGTGCAGGAGCCCAAACACCAGGGCCATTCTCTGCCATTTCCCAAGCAAGTTAGCAAGGTGCTGGATCAGAAGTGGAGCACCTGGGACTCCAACTGGTGCCCATACGGGATGCCAGCATCGCAGGCAGCGATTTAACCTTCTGTGCCACAGCATCATCCCCCTCCAGGGTTTTTGACTTGAGAAACTATGTGTGTTGGTGCTGTTTCACTGAATAGGAACCCCAGACCTGGGAACCAATTTAGGGTGGTGGGGTGATGAGTTCCATTATAGACTTTGAATCTATGGACACCTCAAGGTAGAGCTAGGAGAGAGACAGAGATACATGGATCTGAAACTTGGGAGAGCAATCTATGGGGGAGATGTAGGTTTGACAGCTTGCAGCATGTATGTGACAGCTAAACCATAGAAAGAAATAAAGAAAACCTTCTGAGATGTAATATTTTACCCAGTGTTACCAATAGTGTTCTTTTAAAAAAAATCTTGAACGAGTAGCCAACATTGTAAACCAATAGATGGTGCACAATATTTCCAAATTAAAATCTGGCTACACTGGACTTGCATTTCCACAAAGTCAGGGCCATTTGGAGCTAACTTGTATTTGCTGCTTTTGGAATGGACAATGCAGCAGTCCTCACCATATTCTTTTAGTTAATGCCAAGACTAAGGGCTAGTTGCTGTTTATCATTGTGCCTGCTGTTTTGTCTTCTTATACTTGTCCATTTTTACTCATTTGCATTACTCGCCCGTTATTTGAGTGTGCAATCTTTGGATGAAGAAGTTGAGTCCTGACGGGAAACAGAAAAGAAAATACTATGTACTTTGTGCTCATTCATTTAGGGTTTTTTTTTTTTTTAAGGTTTATTTATTTATTTGAAAGTCAAGTTACACAGAGAGAGGAGAGGAAGAGACAGAGAGAGGTCTTCCATCCACTGGTTTACTCCCCAATTTGCCACAACAGCCGGAGCTATGCCAATCCGAAGCCAAGAGCCAGGAGCTTCTTCCAGGTCTCCCACGTGGGTGCAGGGGCCCAAGGACTTGGGCCATCTTCTACTGCCATCACAGGCCATAACAGAGAACTGGATTGGAAGTGGAGTGGCTGGGTCTCGAACTGGCGCCCATATGGGATGCCGGCGCTTCAGGGTGTTAACCTGCTGTGCCACAGCACCATCCCCATTCATTTAGGTTTATGGCAAGATAATTTACTACATTATTAGTTCTGTCTCCCATTCCTTGCCAGAGGAGATCCTCAGTGGGATTAAAAAGGTAGCATTATCTCTCCCAGGGATTTGGGGTTTGTTATTAATGGATTTTGTGTTTCCTGGTCTCAAACCAAAGTTGAAATGTACCTTTCTATGGCCTTATCCACACACTTGCGTGGGAAGGCAGTTTAATTTAGCTGGGTGTTTTTGAAGAGGATAAGATGGAGGAGGAACTGGACTGAAAGAGAAGAGTTGCCTAAGGGTAACAGTGGGTCCAGGCACTTGGCAAAAGAGATGTAGCGATAGACTCCATGAGCAAGCGAGCGGCAGGGTCTGTGTAGAAGCCCTCCAGGAGGAGCAGGCCTTTGATGGGGAGCTGACTTAATGGCCGGCAAGCAAGCAACCAGCATACAGTCTTGGGAACTGCAAAGCATGCTAGCACGCGTGCTTGGCAGAGATGCTGTGGGATGGACCATGTGGGTTTAGACAATGAGCATCGCAGAGGCAACCATGACAGGCTGAAGACTAGAGACTATTTCATACTTGTTTTTTTTTTTTTTTTAACTTTTATTGGTCAGTGTACACTAAAGAGGAAAAAAGACCCCAACAATGATTGATGTCAGTAATCTTCCCACCGTAGCAAATGGAGTTTTCAAGCCAGGTTTAATTTTAGAAAGTTGAGTAATGAGGCCGGCGCCGCGGCTCACTAGGCTAATCCTCCGCCTAGCGGCGCCGGCACACCGGGTTCTAGTCCCGGTCGGGGCGCCGGATTCTGTCCCGGTTGCCCCTCTTCCAGGCCAGCCCTCTGCTGTGGCCAGGGAGTGCAGTGGAGGATGGCCCAGGTGCTTGGGCCCTGCACCCCATGGGAGACCAGGAAAAGCACCTGGCTCCTGGCTCCTGCCATCGGATCAGCGCGGTGCGCCGGCCGCAGCGCGCCGGCCGCGGCGGCCATTGGAGGGTGAACCAACGGCAAAGGAAGACCTTTCTCTCTGTCTCTCTCTCTCACTGTCCACTCTGCCTGTCAAAAAAATTAAAAAAAAAAAAAAAAAAAAAAAAAAAAAAAAAGTTGAGTAATGTGATGTTTCTTCTTCCTCAGAGATGTAGAACAAATGTATACTTGAGCATTTATTATCCCATTTACCTTTTTTTAATTAGACAATACATATTTATTACTCATAATTCTAGAAGCTGGGAAATCCAAGATCAAGGTCCTGGCCAATTTGATTGCTAGTGATGGACACTTTAGTGTATTCTTACATATCCCATTTAATCTTTAAAATGTTTTGAAGTGGGTATTATTTATATCCTTTCACATAAGGGGAAACCAAGGCATATGTGTGTGTATACAACTGCATGCTACATGATGACATTTTGGTCACTGATGGACCACATATATGGTGATGGTCCCATGAGCTTGTGATGGAACTGAGGAATTCCTATCACTTAGTCACCTAGAGACATTGTAGCCACTGTAAGTTGTGGCACAAGCATTAATCACCTTTGTGGTGATGCTGGTAGGAGAAACAAACTCACTGCACTACTAGTCTATAAAAGCACAGCACAAGGGCGGGCGTTTAGCTATAGTTAAGGCACTGATTACGACACCTGTGTCAGGGGCCAGAACCATGGCTCACTTGGTTAATCCTCCGCCAGCAGCGCCAGCATCCCATATAGGCACCAGTTCTAGTCCCGGTTGCTCCTCTTCCAGTCCAGCTCTGCTGTGGCCGGGAGTGCAGTAGAGAATGGCCCCAAGTTCCTGGGGGCCTGCACCTGCATGGGAGACCAGGAAAAAGCACCTGGCTCCTGGCTTCGAATTGGTGCAGCGCTGGCTGTAGCAGCCATTAGGAGTGAACCAACAGAAGGAAGACCTGTCTCTCTCTTTCACTGTCTATAACTGTACCTGTCCAAAAAAAAAGACACCTGTGTCCAACATTGTAGTGCCTGGGTTTGACTCCCAGCTTTGGATTCAGATTCCAGCTCCCTGCAATGCAGACCCTGGGAAGCAGTGGTGATGACTCGAGTAGTTGGCTCCCTGCCACTTACTTGGGAGACCCACTTACTTGGTCCTGGCACCTGATATCTGATCTCCTTCCTAACTGCTACTGTGAAAGGTGTCCTTCTGGGAGAATTTCCTTGGGATATATGTCTTTAAAAAAAAAAAAGATTTATTTATTTATTTGAAAGAATTACAGAGAGAGGAGAGGCAGAGAGAAGTCTTCCATCCAGTGGTTCACTCCCCAGTTGGCTGCAACGGCTGGAGCTGTGCTGATCCGAAGCCAGGAGCCAGGAGCTTCTTCCTGGTCTCCCACGCGGGTGCAGGGGCCCAAGGACTTGGGCCATCTTCTACTGCTTTCCCAGGCCATAGCAGAGAGCTGGATTGGAAGAGGAGCAGCCGGTACTAGAACTGGCATCCATATGGGATGCAGGCACTTTAGGCCAGGGTGTTAACCCACTGCACCACAGCACCAGCCCCAAGGGATATATGTCTTTATCCTTCCCTCTCCCAACCCCACGCAGCACCTTCCACACTGGCTTGTAACTTGGGTCTTTTGTTTTTTAAGACTTATTTAGGCCATTGGAGGGTGAACCAACGGCAAAAGGAAGACCTTTCTCTCTGTCTCTCTCTCTCACTGTCCACTCTGCCTGTCAAAAAAAAAAAAAAAAAAAAAAAGACTTATTTATTTATTTGAAAGGCAGAGTTACAGGGACAGACAGACAGAGGTTTTCCGTCTGGTTCACTCCTCAAAAGGCTGCAACAGCTGAAGCTGCGCTGATCCGAAGCCAGGAGCCAGGAGCTTCTTCCTGGTCTCCCATGCGGGTGCAGGGGCCCAAGGACTTGGGCCACCTTCCACTGCTTCTAGTGCTTTCCCAGCACTGAGATTTGGATTGGAAGTGGAGCAGCCAGGACTCGAACCGGCGCTTACATTGGATGCAGGCACTGCAGGCAGGGGCTTTACCCGCCATGCCACAGCACTGGCCCTATAACTTGGGTCTTAATCATGTGCCTTTCCTGAGGCAGGGACCTCCTCACGCAGCTCACTGTTGTAACCTCCACAACTGGTGCTTAGTGTCTGATCAGTGTTCGGTATCCTCTGGGTGAAGGAATGAGCAATGGGCGTGATTTCTGGAACAGGCTTCCCTCCGCCCGCTGTGGGGGGGATGGGGGAAGCCTTCCTCAGCCTTCCTCTTGGCGGCCTGGGGCACTTCCTCAGGATATCACCCAAACCTAAGCTGTCTTGAGACAGGAGCTGGGTGTTTAAGTTCACAGCCAAGGTGCTCACTGGGTTTTCTACACGCCGAGGAGAGGCGGGGCGGAGGGGCGCCTTCCCTACTTGCAAGACTCGCTGGCCTGGGCCGACAGGGCCTCCTGGTGCCTGGGCCTGGGGCCTGCCGCAGAGGCTTGGAGCATGGACACGCGGAGTCCCCACCTCGGCTTCCTCACTCCTGAGCTCACCAGGGCTCCCATCTCCCATCCTGTTTTCTTCCCCCTCCCGCGCCCCCTACCCCACTTTCCTCCCCCCTCTTCCCCAACCCTTCCCCTCCCCTGGGGGTGCAGAGTTAAGGGCCCCACCGTCTGCAGTCGCCACACGGACGAGGACCGGCCTTATGCAGCACATGAAAAATGGCGGGAGTGGTCAGGACTGGGAGCTCTCACGCAGCCTGCCCTCCGTGAAACCATCCATGCTGGGCCTACGTCCGCAGGAGGAATGATGCCCACGGTCCCAGGGGCCGGGGGAAACGGGTGCAGCCCCAGGAAAGGCGGCCCGGGGCGGAGGTGGAACCAGGATGGCAACTTGGGGCGCCTCTGACAGGAAGAGCTCCTGGAGGGGAGGTAATGAATGATACGTTACTGCGTTTCTTGAGCAGCGCTTGTGTTTGACAGGAACGCTACTTCTATTGTTTCTCTTTTAAAAAAAAATATATTCTTTGTAAAAGAGAGAAGTAGAGAGGAGACAGCTCCCATCCACTGATCCACTTCCAAATGCCTGTGAAGGCTGGGACTGGGTGGGAAGGAAGGGGCCCAGGTACACCTGAGCCATCAGCAGCAGGAGGCTGGCTCAGACTCAGGAGAGCCTGGACTCCAGCCAGGCACCCCAGGACGAGACGGGGCTCCCAAGCCAAATGCCGCTGCAGAACTTTCTTTTAAAGCTCTTCCTGTTATGGTAGGAAAGGTTGGAAGATGTGAAATGGTAAAGGTAGAATTTCATCAACTTCCAGTCTCAAAATAACGTCTATGGCAGTTTGGTGGGTTTGTTTTCAAACTTTGCTATTCAGATTTTTACATTCTTTAATTAATATGCAGAATTTTTTTAGGGTAAGAAAGTAGTTAATTCTTTATCATGAACCTTCACTACACACCATAAACTTTACCTAAATATCATTTTTGATAACAATGATATTCTGAATTTTATGTATCTAGATATATAGTAACTTAGTCATTCTATATTTGACTTTTAGACAATTTCTAATTTTTTGGATATTATAAGACTTGAGTAGTACTTGTGCATGACTGTATGTGCTTGTAAACAGTCTTTTTTTGGGGGTGGCAGGAACCCATAAGACTTGTCCTACATTTGCAATTATTTCTTGGGTTCCACACTTGGGCTTCTCTCCCTCTTTAGGTGAGTTATTCACTCTTATGGATAATTATTTCAGCACTGATGTTTCATATGAACTTAATCTCAAAAGTCTAGTCACTGACTATACATCCCTTACCTTGATTTCCTCCAGGGACCTCTGGTCTAATATCTTTATTATTTAGGGTTTTATTTTCTTCTGTCCCAACCTTCTCTTCCTGTTGGAGACCCTAAATCAACTTTTATCACCTCTTCACTCATGCATGAGACATAGAAGCTGTTTCCCCCTTACCATACGTGGTCACCAACATTCTGTAAATTGTATCCTCTGTCTCTTTTCTCTTACTTGTAATGACCCTACTGTCACTCTGGTAGTTCAGGCTCTCATTATTTCTCCCATAAACTGTGCAAGAGCCTCCTAACTGATCTCCATTCCTGCAGCTTTGTCCATCTTAAATTCTTTCTCTCTACTACCAAAGCAATCTACCAAATCCAGAAGTGACCATGATACTGTTAGCAGAGATTGGTGTGGGGTTCTTATCTTTGCACAAGAAAGAATTCAGGCATGAGACAGAGAGCAGTGGTAAACAAAGTGGCAAGGTTTATTGGAGATAGGGCATCCCTCAGAACAGAATGGTTGGGACAGAATCCGAGAGAGAGTGCCCAGTCACTCAGACTCGGGGAAAGCAAGGTTACATGATTAATTGGAAAGAATACACCTGGCAGGCCAGGCAGGCGACTCAGCAGAGCTGAGAGCTGAGTGTGCGGTCTTTGTTCAGACTGGGTTTTGTTTGTTTTTAAAGATTTATTTATTTATTTGAAAAGCAGAGTTAGAGAGAGAGAGAGAAGGAGGGGGAGAGGTCTTCCATCTCCTGATCTCCCTCTGTTTGCAGCTTCTCTTGCCCTCCTTACTCTGCATTTATTATTTCTGGCAATGCTGTTCCATGCTGCCATGTCTTTTCTCATACAGTTCTGATTTCTCACTCTGGAATGTCTTCACTTTTTTTACACCTAATTTTTTAGTTGAAAGAGTGACAGAGAAGGAAAGACAGAGAAAGAGAGAAGGAGATAATATCTTCCATTCACTGGTTTACTCCCTAAATGGCCCCAACAGCCAAGTCTGGGACTGCCCAAAGCCAGGAGCCAGGAACTCCATGCTGGTCTTCCACAGGGGTGGCAGGGGCCCAAGTGTTTGGGTCATCATCTGCCTTCCCAGGTACATTAGCAGGAAACTGGATTGGATGTGGGGCAGCCAGGACTCAAACTGGCACTCTGATATGGGATGCCGGTACACACGTGACAGCTTAACTTGCTGTTCCACAACACTGGTCCCTAACTCCTAATCGTTCCTGTAGCCCAATTTAGGTATCACTTCCTAAGGAAACCTACCCTGAAGGTCCAGGTTGGTCTTTCTGCTCTACATGGCACTTACCTCTCTTTTCACTTAAAACACTTTAAATGTATTTACTTCATATACTGTTTTGTTTT